GTTTTAAAAAATACTGATGATTTGAGGTCTCACTAATTAGCGACAAGAAGAGTCAAGAGGTGACAAGAAAACTAATTTAGCGACAGGAAAACCAAATTTAGTATCAAGAAATCTAAATATTAATTATTTCAAATAAATAAATATAGAAACATGCATTAAAGTGTGTTTTTTAATATACGTGTATTTTAATTATTTAAATTATTTTATATACTGATAAGAAGGAAATGAACATTTGTTATAGAAAAGACTTTTTTTTATTTTCCAGGATATAGATATAAGAAGATGTGGTATGAGTCCCAATGAGACAACTCTCCATCCAAGTCACAATTTAAAAAAGTAAACCATATAGGTCAAAGTACGGTCTTCAACACGGAGCCTAATGGCTCACACCGAACAGTAAGCTCAGTCTAAAGGGCCCCAAAAATTACTAGTGTAAAACCATTCAAACGGGAAAACCAACGGTCTAATCTATATAAACAAGAGGCTCTGAAGAGCCTGAATCGCTCACCTGTATTTCAGAGGAGAAGATTTTTAAATGTTTGCAAACTTGATGAACAAATTGTGTAAAATTGTCTTTAAAGGGCAATAACTCCTTAAGGGGTCAATTGACAATAATAATATTCAAAATAATAACAAATAAAAACTGCAAAATTTTGTTAAAACTACCAATTCGGTGGCAGCAACCCAACAATGGGTTGTTCGATTCGTCTGAAAATTTCAGGGCTGATAGATCTTGACCAATTAAACAATTTTACCCCTGTCACATTTGCTCTAAAAGATTTAGTTTTTGAGATATAAGCCAAAAACTGCATTTGACCCTTGTGTTCTATTTTTAGCCATGGCCGCCATGTTTGTCGATGGATACAAACTTCGGATACAATTTATAAACAAGATACCCTAAGGAACATTTAGTTAAAGTTTGAAGGTAATTGGCCCAGTAGTTTCAGAGGAGAAGATTTTTTAAATAGTTTACATCGACAACGACGACGACCGACGACGGACGCCAAGTGATGGCATAAGCTCACATGGGGCCCTTTGGTGAGCTAAAAACGAGAAACACTTATGAACCACATCAACAAACGACAACTACTGAACGTCAGATTCCTGACTTAGGACAGGTGCAAACAAATGCAGCGGGTTTAAACGTTTTAATGGTACCAAACCTTCACCCTTTTTCTGAAACAATAGTGTAACATCACAACATAGAAAGACACACTATAAAATATCAACTGAAATAGCTTAACTCAATCAAAGGACATATTAACACCAATGAACATACAATGAACAAATAAATTTGACCTATGATACAATGCAAATACAAAATGTTTAAGATAATATAATTACAGTTTACTTTGTTTTTTAATTTTTAAGCCATTCTTTATGTACACTTAGTATGATCAGATGATGGAAGGATAGGCTCATCCCATATGCTCTTTTACTAATATAGTTATTGACATGTGGTTTTATTTACGTAATTTATTTTTCAAGATTACGTCACTGTTGTGACACCATTATGATTCTGGGATTGTAAACAAATGTTCAGATTCATAAATACTTTTAAATATTTTTCTTTTACTAAAAATTTACTACAAAACGGCATACATGTACATTGTAGCTACTAAATGCTAGAAAATTTTAAAGTTTATATATATAACAATTATAATAACCTGTAATTAATTGATTTTTCTTCATAAATTTATTGTCTTGACATTGTTTGATAGTATATATATAAACTTTATTGTCGCTAAATTTGTCTTCTTGTCCCTAATTTTTTTCTTCTTGTCACTAGTTCTTTTCTTCTTCTTTCTTCCAATGACTCTTCTTGTCGCTAATTAGTGAGACCAATAATTTGCATTATTATATATATAGCTTTTAAAATGCCAGTGCTTAATTTAGGAGATAACTGTATTGTATTTTAAGCTAGGCCTACGTAAAATGTAGATTTTACTGTGGCAAATTGAGTTTACCAGGAAACATGTAGCAGAGCTAGGTAAATGGATATTTGCGAAAGTAAATCAAGTTTTACAATGACCAAGCTTAAATCACAATACAGTCATCTCCATTCTAATACCACATATTAAAATAAATTCCATTTTAGTAAATATTTTGGCTTAAAAATGCCATAAAGGAAAAAGTCTGCAAAACTGTTACATCGTCTCTGGCATCTAAACAATGTGAAGTCATAGTTACATGTATACTCCCGCTGTCAAACAAAAACACAAGACATATTTATACTATTTGTACGCTTCTGAATGGTTTAAATATTGATAAAAAGAAGATTTTGAGGCACTAAATGTGTCTTTTTGTTTATATTTTGAGAATAACATACCAAACAAGAGGCTCTCAAGAGCCTGAATCGCTCACCTGTAATTTTTTGCTTAAATCTTTCATCAATGACTATTTTTGCTTTTCAATATATATTAATGAGTGGCTTAAAAATGCCATTTAAATGTTCTTTGTATCTGTCATATTTTCTTCAAAAGCAAAAAAATGCATTTTACCCCTATGTTCCATTTTAGCCATAGTGGCTATGTTTCTTGAAAGGAAATAAAATACAAAAATTTTACTAGATACTCTGAAACTCATTCAGCCCGAGTTTGGCTGAAATTGATTCATCAGTTTCAAAACAGAAGATTTTTTAAAGTAAGCAAACTAGATGAACAAATTGTGAAAAATTGTCTTTAAAGGACAATAACTCCTTAAGGGGTCAATTGACAATTTTGGTCATATAAAAACTTATTTGTAGATCTTACTTTGCTGAACATTTTTGCTGTTTACAGTTTATCTTTATCTATAATAATATTCAAGCAAAATTTCCTTAAAATCATCAATTCAGGGGCAATAACCTAAAAATCAGATACCCGATTTGGCTGATAATTTCAGGGCAGGTAGACCTTGACCTAATGAATACTTTAACATCTTGTCTGATTTGCTCTAAATGCTTTAGTTTTTGAGATAAAAGTCAAAAACTGCATTTTACCCTATGTTCTATTTTTAGCCATGGTGGCCATGTTTTCTGAGGAAACAGAAAATTCTAAATAACCTAAGAATCATTCAGCTTAAGTTTGGTTGGAATTGGTTCAGTAGTTTCAGAGGAGAAGATTTTTTAAAGTTGAAAAACATGATAAACAAATCGTGAAAAATTGTCCTTAAAGGGCAATAACTCCTTAAGGGGTCAATTGCCAATTTTGGTCATATAAAACTTATTTGTAGATCTTACTTTGCTGAACATTTTTTCTGTTTACAGTTTATCTTTATCTATAATAATATTCAAGATAACCAAAAACTGCAAATTTCCTTAAAATTACCAATTTAGTGGCAGCAACCCAACAATGGGTTGTTGGATTCATCTGAAAATTTCAGGGCTGATAGAACTTGACCTAATGAACATTTTTACCCGTCAGATTTGCTCTAAATGCTTTAGTTTTTGAGATATAAGCCAAAAACTGCATTTTACCCCTATGTTCTTTACTAATCATTTAAGTGTAATTTCATGGACAATGAAAATCTCATTTGTCTGTTATCTTCAAAACACTGCTCATTTACAAGCCTCCAAGGGGCAATTTTTGAAGGCCTTGCCACCATTACTTAAGATCTTTGCTCAATTACTTTCTTTGTTGAATTAATGAGATGAAACGTTGAACTATAATAAAAAATTATGAGCTAACCAGAGAAAAATTGTTTAATGCATGTTTTTACATCCCAAAACTTGAGAATTTTAGGGAGTGTAAAAAAAATTACTTATACAAGTAAATTTTTTGAGAAAATTAAGGGGAGATTATTCAAACCTTAAGAAAATATGAATATAACTAATTTACTTATATAAGTATATTATTATTTACTAACTTCTTCAAGTAAATAAAAATAACTTGTACAAGTAGTACCCCTGACTGACATATGCTTATAGTATGTTAATATTTTATGATATTTCAATGATTGCTGGTTCCCCCATTCAATGCACAATAGAGGTGTTTGCAGCATGGTGATTAGACCAAATTCTTCTGTCTCTATATACATGTACATGTAGCATATGTTTCCTGATCTTCATTTGCATTTTTCTTATTTTTTTTTGGCAATACATGTATATACTGTATATTATTGCAAAAAAAAGAAAAAAATTTTGCAATAATATATACATGTATCATATGATGCAGTCCGGTAAATCCGCCCACATAAGGCATTGATTGTATGTTTTTCTGCTTAATTATATACAAATTGTATCTAATTTAATATAAATCGATTCACTGACAACTCTATTTTGAGTAGTTTATCACATTTCCCCAAAAATATCTAAAATAAATGTTAAAATCAACAAAACAAGTGGGTCACCTGTGTTTTGTTTGGAAATGTGTTTGTCGGTAAATCCACCCATGCACAGTAAATATGTATGGAGGGCCAGTTTATCACATATTTATGAAAGGAAAATGGTGATTTATTAATAGACCACTTATAAAGGGATTCCAGACAATCGGAAAAAAAAAATTTTCAAGTCAGAAATGAGTTTTGTAAGCAATATTGATATGATTATCTTTAGCTTTAGGAACTGTATTATAATATATCACGAGATATTTTCGTAATAAAGAATTTTTCTTTAAAAGTTGACATACAGTCAGGATATGTACAGTTCCTATGAACAAAATAGCCAACGAAATATTCACGGAAGTTACAGTTATGGAAGTAAATGGGAGTGGGCAGGTTTACCGGACAGGCGGAATTACCGGACACTACTGTATTGCAAATTATAGACAAAAGCAAATGAACAAGAAGATCATGCAGGAAAAACATGCTATACAAAGACAGAAGAATTCGGTCTGCATGGGCATTGACGCTGCAGGTTCAGAAATTAAAAATAATTTGCTTTCTTCTGTTCATTATATTCGCATTTGCATGAAGCTGCATGATTTTTATATGATACATAGATAGTCGGTTAAAGTCATAAAGAGCTTCAGTTTTTCTGTTATTGTGTACATATGTTCCGACTTTAAATAAAATTTACCTACCGTACTTGTAGGCCGAAGTTTAAACAGTCCGAGTTTGCTATTCAATAACTTATTGTCCAAGTTATCAAGGAGTCGGAAATGTCACATACGTTAACAGACTCTTAACACAAGGATGTATAATTTATAATTTGTCTCTGGTTAAAAATATAAAAATGTTGTCTCCTGCGAGTATTTTATTTTTTTTTACTATATTCTCATTTTTTACCAGGAATTTAACCAAAAAAATAAAAAAAGCCTTCTAAAGTGATATAATCTTAATTTTGATTACCTATTTACATTGTACAAGTAAACGTGGAGATCGATAAACATATCCCACAATGCAGTTGTTATCGAAGCTAGGATGGGGTTACACTAAAGACCTGAACGCGGACCGGAAAAGACAAGAAAATATCAGTTTCGATGTATTCAAATTTCAAAAATCTGTTTTAACTTTTCAATGGATTTCCTTCAAGCTCTGACTATCGTGTTGAGGGAACCATGATGTTTAGCAATAACAGTGCTGCATATCGACGAGCTGTTTTTAATATATGTTTAGTGAATTTGTGTAATCAAGGATTACCGTATAAGATCGAACAATCATAATAATAATAATAATAATAAATAATAAATACGTTATTTATCTAAATAGGGTAAAATCAGTTAGTACAATACTAATCTCCCTTGATGCCCTCTGAATAACTCAAAATATAATAAGATAATATATACATATACATAAATACAACTTACTACGCAAAACAAATGGTGAAAAACATACAGATAATGATTAAGTTGAAGTGTTACGTTTCATGAAAGTAAGTAATAAGGGGGATTCTACAACACTTTGAATTTTATAAATGAAATTTAGCATGTCACCTTAAAAATGGAAGATAAATGGTAAACGAATAGTTACTAAGTAAAAATTAACAGCATGATGGGTTAGGGTTATGATTTTTAAATAGGAGTAAGAGATGATTTTTTTTTCAATGTTTAATGTTTGATTTTTTTCAATTTTTAAAATGTATAGTAAAATGATTTTCGAATAGGAGTAAGAGATATAATTTAATGAAATAGGAGTGAGAGCCGATATCAAACACTTTAAAGGAAGGTGTTGTTATAAGTAATATGGAATCAATTGGAATTAATAAAAACACTTTAAAGGAAGGTGTTGTTATAAGTAATATGGAATCAATTGGAATGAATAAAAGCACTTTAAAGGGAGGTGTTGTTAAAAGTAATATGGAATTCAAAACAATAAAAAAAAACTTTAAAAGGAGATGTTGTTATAAGTTTTATGAAATCTTAAATTGAAATGAATTAAAGAATGACAACTGATAATAATAATGTGGATTTAAACACCTTAATGGAAAGTGGTGATAGAAATAAAATGAATATGAATCAAATATAATTGACATCGAAGAAATGCCTGGTCCATCTGGGCTGTCATCATCTTAATTTATACCAAGTGAAAGCGGTGGTGCTAAATTTATTAAAACGTTTTGCGATGCAAAACTACAGAGGAATAAGGGGTTTTGTAAGAATAAACCTGAAAAAAAAATAATCGAAAATTTACCCGCGAAAAGGTTTTTACCAAGAAGGAGCTTAAAACACTCGCAAAGAGATGTAATATTACCAAGTACTCTCGGCTAAGGAAAGAAGACCTGTATGAGTTGGTGATAAAGAACATTGAAAATGCACCGGTTGAAAATGAGATCAAAGTCTCTAATAGACCCGATGCGCTGAATGGTGTATTTGGTACGGTGACCCTTGAACCTTTGAAACAACATGATTTAGATACGTTTTTTAAGGTAAATGGAAACATCATTTCCAGTAAACTTTTGGATGCACTTACCAAAAAGAAGGCTTTTAAGGTACAAATAGTGCTTCAAGTGGAGTTGATAAAAACGAACCCCGCACCTGGAAAACCTACCTATGTCACTCCCTTCTTCAGATCATCTGTAGTAACTATTACTCAATCAACAGATCTTGAATTGGAGATTGCATTCATGAAGGAAAAGGTGAAAGAAAATATGGCAAAGTACATGCGTGAAGGTAGTAGATGGACATTTGGTCATATTGAATAATTACAAATTCATTTGAATAAATTTAAACCACTCAAATGAAGTTCGTACATAGCTATACTGCATCAAAACTTTCTAAAAAGAAAGCCATTGTTAACGTAAGAAAAGAGGATGATCGATGTTTTCAATGGGCAGTTTTATCAGCACTACATCCAGATTAGGTGGATAAGAATCATGCTTTCCGATTGAATCAAAACAAGAAATGGGAAAATGAGCTTAAGTTTGATGGTATTGAATTTCCAATGTCACTTAAGTCCATTGATAAATTTGAAAGACAGAATATAGATCTCAACATCAATGTTTTTGGTTATGATGGTGTAGAAATAGATGAGTATGAAAAAGAAAAACTCCAAGTGTACCCTTTAAGGATATCAAAGAACACCGGTGCGAAACACGTAGATCTCTTGTTTTTGACTATCGCCAGCAAACAGCATTACTGTTGGATCAAGAGTTTATCACGTCTTTTGACTTCTCAAGTGACAAATCACAAAGAATCAGTATTCTTTTGTCGATGGTGTTTGAATCATTTTTCTAGAGAAGACATCTTAGATGAACAAATGGACTTTTTCAATCAGAAGGAGGCAGTTAGAATCGAGATGCCGGAAGAAGAAACCTTTATAAGTTTTCAAAACTATAAACGTAAAATGAGAGTTCCTTTTTGTGATTTATGCCGATTTTGAATGGTTTTTTTTTTAGAGAAGATAGACACCTGTCAACCCGATTCGTTTACACCTTACACGAAAGCCTATCAACGACACACACCATATGGTTTTTATTATTGTGTAAAATATGCACATGGAGACTACAAAGAAGCAGAATTATACTGTGGAGAAGATGTAGCGAAAAAGTTTGTTGAATGTATGGAGCAAGAAGTAAGAGAGATTGCTGAAATGTACAAAGATGAAAAAGACACGGTAATGACAGATGAAGATGAGAAAAGCTTTAAAGTAAGTACATATTGTCACATTTGCGATGATGCATTGGGTAAGGACAAAGTTCGCGATCACGACCACCTTACGGGTAAGTATCGCGGTGCTGCACACAAGAAGTGTAACTTAGAGTTTCAACTTCCAAACTTTGTATCCATTGTTTTTCACAATTTAAGTGGGTATGATGCTCATCTGTTTGTGAATAAATTAGACGAAGGACCTATTCAATGTATTCCAAACACAGATGAAAAGTACATTAGTTTCTCTATGAAAGTGGATGCAGATTTAAAGATGCGATTTATCGATCCAATGAGGTTTATGCCAAATTCCTTAGAAACCTTAACAAAAAATTTAACGATTGGTATGTGTAAGGCGGTGAAGAAGTGTTTTGGTGACCGTTACGACATGATGATCAGGAAAGGTGTTTATCCTTATGATTACATGGATGGTCCTGCAAAGATGAGGGAAACAGAACTACCAACTTAGGATGAGTTTTTTAGCACACTGTACGGTGAGCACATCAGCGATGAGGATTATGCACATGCTCAACATGTGTTTAAAGCATTTGGATGTCAATCGATGCAAGATTACCACAATCTCTTCCTAAAAAACGATGTGACACTACTAGAGGACAACTTCGAGGACTTTAGAGATACTTGCATAGTTCACTATGGACATGATCCCATGCAATATTACACCTCACCAGGATTAGCCTATGAAGCAGCTTTGAAAATGAGTAAAGTCAGACTAGAATTATTATCTGACACAAATATGTTACTTATGCTTGAGAAAGCAACCAGAGGAGGTATTGCTCAGATAAGTCATCGGTATGGTAACGTACCTGAAATATTAATATATGTGAAATAAATATTATTTTACAATTGATATTAACATAAGTTCTTATCATTAACACCAAAAAAAATGTACATGTAATTGAAATGCAATTGAAAAGTAATTTAGCATTACATGCTTTTTTCAATGTAATTAATTAAATTACCATTACATGTAATTTTAAAAATGCTCAATTACACATTACATTACATTACATGGAAAATTGTAATGCATTACACTTAATTACTATTACATTTTCAATTACCCCATCCCTGATGGTAAGGCGAATAATAAATATATGAGTGATTATAACAACACACAACCTACTAAATACTTAACCTACCTAGATGCCAACAATTTGTATGGATGGGCTATGTCACAACATTTACCAACAGGAGAGTTTGAATGGGTGAAACCTGAGGAAATCGACAACATATTAAACTATTCAGACGATCACGAGTATGGATGCATGGAAGAATGTGATCTGAACTTTCCTCAAGAGTTTCATGATGACAATAATGACTATCCATTAGCACCTGAGAATATAGAAATAAATCAAGTACATAAACTAGCACCCATTTGAACAAAAGTGTTAAATATGTACTTCATAATAGAAATCTTATACAATACCTATTCTTAGCGATGAAACTACCGAAAGTATACCGCATTATTAAATTTCAACAGTCTCCATGGCTTAAAAAGTATATAGATTTAAACACCAATCTTCGTGCTAAGGCTAAGACTGACTCTAAGAAAGATTCTTTTAAGTTGATAAATAACTCTGTGTTTGGTAAGACGATGTAGAACATTCGTAAGAGAGTTGATGTGAAACTGGTAACAACAGAGAAGCAGACATTGAAGCTTGTAGCCAAACCTAACTATGATCGCCGGGTTGTCTTTACCGTGAATTTGGTAGCAATCCACATGAAGAAGACGAAACTCAAATTTAATAAACCCGTCTACTTAGGAGCTTGTATCTTAGATCTCTCAAAGACCCTAATGTATGATTTTCATTACAACTACGTACGGGAAAAGTATGGTAACAATGCAAAGCTTTTATTCACCGATACTGACAGCTTGGCTTATGAAATCCAAACAGAGAACTTTTACAAAGATATTGCACCATGTGTTCAGGATACTAATTATCCGAACGAACACCCCTCTGAAATAACAACCGGTGCGTTGAGAAAATCATCGGCAAGTTTAAAGATGAATGTGGAGGTAAAAATATGACAGAATTTGTTGACCTTAGAGCTAAAATGTACTCCTACAAGGTAGAAAATGTAACCAACAAAAAAGCCAAATGAGTGAAACAAAAAGTCGTTGAGCGTAACATCACTTTTGATGATTACAAGAGATGTCTCAACACGCAGCAGGAGATATATAGATTTATGAATGTCATCCGT